GGGTGGGGAGGGAGGTAAATGAATGTATTATGAAAATCATTCATACGTAAATGCCAAATTCAATCATCGAAAAATAATATTATTGTATTTTAAGTTAATTAAGTAATTCTTTTTTTTTTGGTTGTTGTTGTTGTTGTTGTTGGATAACAAACGAGATAAAAAAAAAATTCAATAGACTTGCAAATGTTTCAATAATAATAAGATTATATCGTTTTTATTACTTACCACCATTCGTGTAAAACGGTAATTTTTTTTTTTCCCCGTTTGTTTTGTTCTGTTTGTTTGTTTTGTAAATATTTACATACGATAACGATTATTAAGAATAAAACCGAACAAACAATTTAATTATTAAAACAAACAAAAAAAAAAAAGTCATTCGTAAACCGCGTGTGTTCGCCATCTTTAATCATGATTGATTTAAATAGCAGAAACTTTTTGTCAGGGAATTTTTTCCCTTTTCAATCGTTAAAATCGAGACGGGGAAAAAAACAGGGAAATAATTTTAAAGTGTAGGGAATTTTTTTTGTTTACCGCGTTTCATTTTGAATTTAAATCTTTATTATTATTATTATTTTGTTAAAATTAATTTGATTTTTTCCACGTGATTAATTATTATTATTATTATTATTATTACATTTTAATAATAATAATAATAATAATAATAATTTGGAAAATAAATATTTTTAATAATTAATTAACAACAACAAAAAAATTTATTTGACCTTTTCTTTGTAAAAATTATAAATATTAATAATTTAAATTTCAAAAAAAGAAAAATGGCGGGAAAATTAAAAAAATGACCGTAATTACCGGTTATGAAAATATTTATCATAACTTTTGGTTTATAAATTGATTTTGTAATAGTGAATTGTTTTTTATTATTATTATTGTTGTTTTTGTTGTTATTTTTCTTCATTCACGTTCGTATAATGTTTAACAATGTAAAATGGCTGCTTCTTTTACGCAATTATTCATTATCATCATCATCATCATCATCATTTTCAGACAAAAAAAAAGTATCTTATTATTATTATTAATAAAATTTTTACGAACAAGGGATATTTACGAAATAATATTCGAGTAAATTTATTACCCCCTTTTTAAATTTCAACATTTAAACGTAATTGTTTATAACCTTTTTTTTTTTTTTTTTTTTTTTTTTAAAAAAAAAAAACTTTTCAGTGACATTTTAGTAAAAAAAAAAAAAACGTTACGAGTAACTATTACGGTGGTAAATATTAACGGATTCACTTTTAAAAAAAAAAAAAATTTTTTTTTTTTTTTTTGGGGTCAAGATAATTTTGTAATTATCCATGTACGTATCGTGTTCACGGTTGATAAAACACTAATATTATTATTATTATTATTATTATTATTATTATTATTATTAATATGACATAATGTATGAAAGGTAGTTTTTAGTTTTGTTTTGCTCTTTCTTTCCTTTCTTTCTCTTTCTCTTTCTTTCTCAATTTATAACAAAGTTTTAACGTCTTTTTTTTTCGTTTGTGACGTAATTTACAAAAAAAAACTATTAATTGTTTAATAAAATAAGAAGAAAAGGCGGGAAAATTTATATACTCGTTAGTAACAAAAATTATAAATGTTTTTTTTTTTTTTTTTTTTTTTTTCTGTTAAGTTTGCACATATTATTTTTTAACAAA